TTTCAGGGTTCAATCTGTGAGTTAGCCATGCCCTGACTTAGACCAGCCCAGAGGTTGTTTCAGGGTTCAATCTGTGAGTTAGCCATGCCCTGACTTAGATCAGCCTTCTCAAAGGGACCTTAAGCGGAATAATTCAATTATTGATTTATTATCAAAGTCATCCATCAGACTGTTTGATGCAAAAGGCCTATTGTTTCAATAATGAGAATCTTATAACAAACCTTCCAAAAAAATGTATGCATTGTATACAAAATCCAAATGTTAAGCAGCTGTTGTTTTGAACAGTGTTTCCATTCATTCCAGTTCAAGTATAAAAGAGTAGTACATAAAACAAAGACAGAATGAGGTATTAACGTTTCTCAGGYTTTAGTGAAGGTGGCCTGAATTCCTTCCTTGACTTTTTGTCTTTCTTTTTCTTTGATTTGTCCGTGGATTTAAAGTTTCTCCAACTGTCAACTCGCTCATTTCTACTTTCCTATTAAAGAAATAATTAATTATCTTTTAGTAGGCGAAGAGAGCACACATAAAAAAAAGAAAAAACTAAATGAACAAAAATGAGGAATATTGTATAGAACGGTCTGAACCCAGGAGAATGAATGTTAATCGAAGTATTATGATCACCCGGGTAGATGTAATCCTGAGAAGGACTGTTTGATGTGACTGAGGTTTCGACAACATTATTAGAGAGTTTTAGATTGACTTTTTTTCACCCCGCAAACAGCAAACATGACCACGTTTTCATCGTTTTCCTGTATTTTACTTTACTTCTTGCAAACTTTCTCACCACACACAAATATTTTTTTTGTTTTTCTACCACTTGGATTTTTTTGATATTCGTTTTAAGTAATTTAAACGAATTTTTCATTGGTCAACTGACGTTTCACGTTTGCCGTGAACGTAAATCTAAAACTCTCTATTATCAAGATTACATCCACCTGGATGATCGTAATACTTCGATTAACAAAAATGAGAAATAAAAAAGAAATAAAAATCACAAGAACAAAATGGTAAAGTGGACCTCTTGTTACGGACACCACCTAAATATCTGTCAGTAATATAGTCTCTCTGAAAACACCTTCCAGCAAAATCACTAAATACATTCTTTGCCTATGTGACTTATAGTCATATCAAAAGAAAAAAATTATTATGAAATGAATGTACATTAGACTTAATATCTTTCACAAAAAAGGAAAGTTAAGTGTATGATTTTCAGTCTTTTTAGTTAAACGTTTAAGGCAAATGGCTTCCCCTTCACTACCCCCCTGGGACAGTATTAGTTAGTTTGTTGGTACAAGACCAGTACAATACAAGAAAATGTTAATTACCTCCCACTGTTCTTCCCATTCCTTTTTTCTCTTCGTAGCCTCTTCTTCTTTGAGTTCTTCTTCCCGTTGTCTTTTTCTGCGCAACGTTATCAAATCATGATAATATTAACTGATTTCAAGCTTACAAATCAATACTCTTATTATCATTTCTTATGCTCCCACACTTACTAATACACCTATCACATATTCATTGTTCTACCTCTCTAGTTACTGTTGCTAGGTCGGGCAAGCTAAAATGTGTTTTTGATATATGGCATGGAACAGACACTGATTGAAAAGAATTGTAAATGTCTGTCTTAGGATAAATGCGCATTCTTAAGAAAGAAAATAATAACACTAAGAATCCTTATGAATTTGTTGGTTGGACATTCAGACTGTATTCCATTGGGGAAACTACCCATTGTTTGGGTGGACACTTGAGCATAGCCGGGATTGGTCTATCATCATTTACTGACCAGCTTCTTTTAGTTCTGATACATTATTAGGATATCTACTGCATCACCACCTTCACGATCCTCAGCTTGGGAGGCAGGATAAAAAAATATTAAGAGGGGAGGGGGAAAGCGTGACAAAATTTTTTAGGGGTGGTCAAAGATGAGAATTTTCTTGGGGAAGGAGAGGGGGAGGGAGAGGAGGGAGGGAGAGAGGGGAGGGAGAGGGGGGAGAGAGAGAGGGGGAGGGAGAAGAATCACTGCATCATCCATTTTTTCAATAAAAAATATTAGCATATCCCTGTTTCATTTTTTCACTTCATGACACTATAACAGATGTACTATGAGAGATCATTCAACATGATAAATATTAATCTATAGTGTTGTTTCGATATTATTCTTTTCTATAGTGTGATCAATACCTTAATTCTGTTTCTTTAGCTTCCTTTGCAACTCTTTTCAGTTCATAGTCGGCAAACAGCTTCACTGTAACTGCATGATGGAACTTTCTAAACTATAAATAGATAAATAATAATAAATGATAAAAAATAAAAGAAAAAATAAATAAATAAATAAATAACAATAAATAATAAATAAATAATAAATAGTTAATGTAAACTATTTCTTATTGTCATGTCCATCTTAGTGTCGATATTAAGGTACAATATATTTCCTGTATTAATTTTTATTTTTTAAATGCTAGGTAATTTGCAAACACTGTTAATATCTGTGAGCTCAAGACAGTGTTACATAATTAACATTACTGCAACACTGCAATAGATATTGCACTATTTTTCACTATTCAGTAAAATATGAATTTAGTTTTGTTACACAGATTACAGCACTTCTCAATCACATGTGTGAAATTGTACAATTTACCATCGTGTCAAAGGAATTTTTTTGTGGATGTCAATAAATGACATTCCATAGGCACGTGCCCTTAAAAGCTTTGTGTGGTGTCCACCAAAACTCTATTATGTCTCAAACTTTTTTTTACCATTTTGCGCGTGTAATTGATGTAAGTGGTGTAAGTGTGAGCACTCAAGTGTGATTACTTTTAACTGTTATTAATTAATTCAAATTCAAATTCATTGATCATACTTTTAAAGGGTCATCTTCTTCTATTGAATCTTGTCCTTTTATTTTTGCTTCCTTTCTTTTTTCCTTTATCTAAAATTTAAGTATCAGCATTGAATGTTTGATCTAAAATGTGTCAAATAAATAATAATAATAATAATAATAATAATAATAATAATAATAATAACTTTATTACTGTCTCTATATCTTCTAGCCGGGCACAAGTGCCCTACTAATACTAGTTTTCCTGCAAATCAAAGTACCAGTAACACCCTGGATGCTTACAAATAATAAATGAATAAAAAATAAATAAATGGGATTTAGCAGTGAAATTTCTACAGAGTAGAATTTAGGAGTTGATTTTTGCAGAGGGAGGAAAACTGGAGAAACTGGAAAACCCTCGAAGCACAGGAGAGAACCAACAAACAACTCTACTCACATACGACACCGAGTTCAGCGGGACTTGAATCCAGGTCGCATTGGTGAGAGGCGAGTGCTCTCACCGCTATGCCACCCGTGCTTCCCATCTACCCACTGGAAATTCCAGTTGGAAATTGGAAAGTTCCAGAAAACTAGGTCTTGAGTCCTAGTCCACATTTCTTGCTAATCTCGGTTCTTTCGGTAGAAGCGTGAATGTATCATTTTTCGAAAGTCAAAATTTACCGCTCTTCTATTACCAATAGCGAATGAATTTCCAACTGGATGGTTTGGTTTAATGGTAAGCACCCCCCTTTTCATCATCAAACATTGATTTAATCTAAAATGTGTCAAATGAATACTAGTTTTTAAGCACAGCAAGGTACCAGTAACACCCTCTAAATATGAACACCCCTCCCCTCACAACGGTGGATCCAGGGAGGAATAGGGAATTGCATGGCAAGAAAAATAATAAGAATAAAGACCTAAAAAGGATACTATGTAATGACCCCCTCAATAGGTAACAGTCACAAACTTGAAATTGTTTTGGATTTGATGCTGCATCATCTATACCTTTTCTACGATCATTGCATTAGCTTCATCTAATATTTCTTTTATTCTCTGTAATCTTTCAGGATCTTGTGTTGTTTTATAAGCATTACTAACAGCTAGAACAAAAACAAAGGAAACATTTTTAATTAGCACGCTTTTCAAGCCCTTGCAACCCAGACAGCTAAAGAGCTCTGTCTACGAAGCTGGGTAATGTTTTGGTTTTTTATCTGTCAAATTTTGGACAGTTTAAGTTAATTTTTGAATGATGGGAGACCAAAATCCTGCATCTAAAAGTCGTTGGGGTAACAGAATTTATTACAGATTGTGAAAATTTAGAATAAAATTCCTTCCAGGTTAAAGTTGTTGATCATTTTCCATATTAATTTATTTCATGATCAATTGTTGTTGTTATCATCGTTATTGTTATTATTATCATTATTATTATTATTATTATTCATAATAATATTATCATTATATTAGGATGTTATTATATTACCATCAAATGCTTTCTGTGCTCTTTCAAGATCCTCTCTGTTTTTATCGGGGTGAACTAAAAGTGAAAGCTGAARAGAAAATGAATAAAATGAGGAAATTCATCAGGCATTTAAAGCTGCAATTATTTACTTAATCTTTATCATGAAATAGACTTTATATTGCATAAATCTAGAAAATACCTGTACCTTCCCCATAAAGGGAGATAGGAATTTCCAAGGGGTGTGGAAGGTCTACGGAAGGGTATATTTTGTAGTTCCATAAAATATCCATACCTCCCCCACAGAGGGGGATTGGAATTTCCAAGGGTTGGGGAGGGTCTGAGGAGGGTATATTATGTAGTTCCATAAAATATCCATACCTCCCCACAGAGGGGGGACTGAATTTCCAAGGGGTGGGAAGGGTCTGAGGAGGGTATACTGAGTGAACTAAATGAACCCCAAGTCAGGTTAACAACACTACCTTCTTATACTGTTTTTTAAGGTCCTCTTCTGATGAAGTTGGTAGTATTTGAAGAACCTGTAAGAAAATTAATAAGATTTATGATAAGTCATTATAAAATAATTGGGATACTATGCGCACTATGATTGGTCGAAAACCATGTTTGATGAGAGTATCAAAACACGCTATCGTCATTTTTAATCTATCGCGCACGCTCATTGGTCAGTTTAAATAAGACGGCTCATAGGGAGAATTTACTTAGACTTTGCTTTTTTTCGATCTTTTCGCGCGTTTGTTATTTTATAAAACAGATCAAAAACAGTTTTCCGTGTTTGATACTCTGATCAAAACACTTGGGATGTTGGGAGAACACTTGAGAAGCTGGAAACCACTCCACTATGCGTCGTGGTTTCCTACGCTCCTCTCGTGTTCTCCCAACATCCTGCATGTTTTGATCAGAGTATCAAACACGGAAAACTGTTTTTGATCTGTTAAGCCTTGTATATTTTGAAGATAAATAAATAAACCAATCAACACAGTTCAAGACTTACTTCATATGGATTTAAGTTTAAATACTTTGATCCTGGTCTGGTTAACCTTTCAATCTGTTGGGGACCAGTTAATACAGAGTCTCTAGTCTCTATTTCTTTGACCTAGGAAATAAACAGTATACCTTTAGTATACCACAGCATACCACATTGGCCAGCACATTGTCCAGTAAGACTAAGGTCGAACGTCGAACTATACATTAGCCGAACCTAATGACATCAAAGAAGGCCGCCTAGTTATCCATTGTTTCAATTAGGTTTGGCTCATGTGAATTTCAATGTTTGACCTGAGCCTAAGTCAAACATAATATTAAGTATATAGAGAGAGATTAGCATATATTAACATTATATTATTATTTGTTCATAAGTTTCCATATGCAAAACAAGTGAGTCCGCAAGCGAGGGAATAAAAAAAATATCAGGTTCCCAACATGTCATAAGTTGCTAATTAATCTCTTAGGGTGGATACAATAATAAAACTCACAGCTTACAGAGAAGAGATATTGTGCCACTTTATTGCCCTGTAACTTCGTTGACATTTGGTGTCTATTATTTATCCCTTTCACTACTAGAGCGGCCAAAAGCGGCCAGCAGAAAGACGTTTTTGCTTTTTAATTACATATCCCCTAGGACATTTCTATTTGTTGAAACATGTGGGCTATTGATTTTTGAATCATTAACCAATCAGATTCTATCAACTGCTTTGGTGTGTGTTATAGAGCGTTTTCACTCACGTGAGAAGGCAGTCATAAATGATAGAAACTTTCTGCACAGTATTTGCATAAAAATAGAGTTCAATTCCCGGAGGATAGAAAATGTAATGTTATGGTACCCCATAATGGCCACTGTGACGTCACATGAAAACGCTCTATAAGGCATCAATATCTACTAAGCATATGTTTTTCATTTTGATATTGATAAATAAAAACACCCTAATTATGTTCCAGGTAAGCCTGGGTTGGACCCTTTTAGCCTCTAGTAGTGAATAGGTTAATTGATACAATATTCTGATTTCAATCGTTTATTGATAGGCTTGAATTTTACAAAAAACACTGTCATTCATTTCATTAAAAACAAAAAATTAATAACAGGGCTGGTCTGTTGTCAGTTGAGTTGCCGATACACGCTGCAATTCATTCTCACACTGGCAATCTCAAATTTTCCGTTGCATTGCCAACAGGAGACAATTTCAGCATGTATGCCCCACGGCTTTGGAGGGAATAATATCTTGCAACGCAAAAATTGTTGTAGAAAATCAAAACGTTTGAACTTTTCTCTGCAACATTTTCAGAATTGCACGCCTAAAAATAGCAAAAATTGCAGCGTCTATCACCCATGCTTACCTACAATACAATAATCCTATTCAGACTAGCCAATCAGGATTTAAGAGTGGCTGTCCGTAACGGTCGAGAATGGCGGGACAGCGAAGGAATTTTCAAATTTCTCATATTTTGTCAGAAGACACCCTTTGGTAAGCTCTTTTAAAAAATCCAGTTTAAAACTTCAAGCGCTTTTTTATTTTGGCGAATTTTACGAAAATCTA